CCTTGGACAAGTCTCTCTGCTTCTCTGTGCCCCAGTGCCCTGATCGTTGTCCCCACACCACAGGGTCTGTGGTGACTCCATGGATGTGTCCGCTGAGGCGTGTGTCACGTCAGAAACTGACAAGTACAGATGCCGCCTAAGCAGCCAGGCTGGGCGGGCGGGCGCCCATTTTCACTGGAGAAAACAGGCAGGGAGAGGGAGGGCAGAGGCAGGAGCCGCTGCAGCTGCCCCTCCCGCCCGCAGCTTCCTGCCCGGCCTTCCTCCTCCGCCTCCTCCTCGCACTCCTGCCTCGAGGAAACCACCAGGCCTCCGGCGGACGGACGTCCCTTTCTTTCTGCTTCCTCTTTCCCACACTCGGGGACGCGGCTCCAGGCCTAGGCCCCAGCATCCACACCGCCGCCACTTTGGCCTCGATGTCCTCGTCTGTGACGTAGGTGCAGGGCCAGTGTTAACCCTGAAGGCTCTCGGGGGGCATCAGGTGGGCTGCTCCCTCGAGGTCGTCCCCCTGCAAGCTGCTGGGCGCTCACCTAGGCTTCCACGAGCACCCACTGCCCACGTGCCCCAGCCTGGTCCTGGGCTGACCCTGGGCACAGGCGGGCAGCTGAGGCCTCCTGGGGGGGGCCTCTCATCACAAACCCAGTCCCACAGGCTGTCTCCCCAGCTGAACTCTGTGCTGAACACTTGCACCCAGGTGGCTTCCTTCCTGGGTGTCCCGGTGCCCCTCACTCACCCCGTCAGCACCCAGTGCGAGGCACCTCACGGGGCTGCGGTGAGGGCTGCATGAAGCCGGGTCTGCACGGTGCCGGGTGGAAGAGCAGGTGCCAGACCAACGGTGGCTACGAAGGCCATTGCAACCGCAGCTAGAACTCCAGCCTCACCCTCTGTGCAGGAGAGGCTCTGCCCCCAGGCCTGGCAAGGCTGCCAAGGCTTTGAGATCATCTCAGACAGCCCAGAGGCCTGGGAAAAGGGGGAAACTGAGGCCCAGAAGAGCCGGGGCTGGACCAAAGGCGACGGCCAGCCAGTCTGCTCCACTTGCAAACGGACCCCAGTGCCCGGAGTCCCTGCCCCAAGGCCAGCCACCCTTGGGCCTGGTGGCTGCCGCCGTCACCTCTCCCTGCCGCCAGCTCCCCACCGCCTCCCTCTGCAGAGTCCGGGCAGGGCCAGGCGGTTCTGTAAGAGAAACCAGGAGTCTGGATGCTTATGTAAAACCTCTCCATTTTATGTTTTTGAATATTGGCAACCAATCCAACTTTCTTATTTTTTCTGTCAACTGTCAAGTAGGATAGCACCTCATAGGCCTGGCTGGACTGGCTCTCTGCCTCCTCCGATGTGAGCTGGGGGTTGGGAGCGGGGCCTCCTGTTGTCAGGGGAATCGGAGGGGAGGCAGGTGCCACAGGAAGAGCGGCTGCCGAAGGATCTTCTAGGAGCAGAGTCCTGCCGCACTCTGCCCTGGCCGCCCCAGAGGGTTCCTGCGGCCCGCCCCTCGCTGGGCTGCCCCCGCACGTGTCTCAGCCCCTCTGGGCCAAAATCCTCCCCACCCCACCCAGCCAGCCACAGCACTTTGCCCTCCTCGTCCCTCCTCGTCCCCTGCCACCCCAGCCCCGACTGTCTGACTGTCCCTCAGATTCCTGGTCCTTGGCTCCTTCCAGATCTTCCGAGACCAGCACCTTCTCTCATCTCAGAGGTCACCTCCTGCCAAGGGGCCTTCACCGACCACCCCCAGCCCTCCCTGCTCCCCACTCCCCACCAGGGCCCACCTCCCATCTGCCTGCAGGAAAGCCACCATGACTTCCCTGCCCCCTTTGGAACTTGGGGGACAGCCACCGGTGTCCCTGCAGGCCCCTGGGACAGGAGTCCTCCTGCTGCAGGCCACCAGATGAGCTTGCTTTACAGGTGAGGAGACTAGGCTCTGAGTGGGGAGGTGACCCAACCAGGGTCAGAGGCCCAGCTGGGACCCGGCTCCCACAAGCTGTCAGCAGCTGACAGACAGGCCTTCTCTGTCAGGGCAGACACTGCGGAGAGACTGGGGGAGGCCCCACCAGAACCACTCCCTTTGTGGGCGACACTGCAGGTCCTATGGCAGCCACCAAGCCTAGGACAAGGCCCGGGGCAGCCTCGGGGGAGAGAGCCCCACCACCTGGATGCCCTCCCCCAGCGCCTGGCTTCTCTGGGGCCAGGCCACGAACGCTGAGCCCAGGGACTCAGACCGGGGCTCCAACTCAGGGCACCCAAAGAACAGGGGCCCTGACAGGGGAGAGACCTGTTCCCAGCCCCAGAGGCACTGCCATGGCAACCACAGCGACCACACGGAGCGCGCCCGGTCAGGCGCTCAGCAGATGCACGCCCCAGACACCACATGAGCCGCACGATGCGGGCGCTATGAATAGGCGCCTTGTACGAAGGAGGAAACTGAGGCCCAGAAGACTGATGTTGCTTGCCTGAGGCCTCCAGGCCGGGAAAGAACAAACTCATTATTCCCACTCAGCCGTCTGACCCCTGACACCTGGGTTGCCAGGATGGGTTGTTTGCTGCAGCAGCAGCTTTTGCGAGTGAAGCTGCGTAGAGCTGCCGGCGCCGCCTTGCCATGAAGGGCCGTGTTCGGCCGCTACTTGCCTCCCGTGGCGTCACGGGCCCCAACAACGACGAGAAACTGAGTTTTTATCTGTACTTGTGTTTTTTCGACAACGTGCCACTGTGTTTGGAATGAAATGTGAACTCCTGACGGGGACCTCTGCCCTCACACCATGGTCCCCATCGTCCCTCTCCGCTACACACACACAGGGAGGCCTCATCTGCTATTCTTTCTCCAAACCACACAAAACGCTTTCCAGGGCTTTGCCGGTGCTGTTCCCTTGGCCTGGGGTCCCCAGAGGGTCTCAGCTCAAGGGGAAGATCTTAGTGCAAAGTCACCCTCTCAGGACTCCCCACGGAAGCTCGGTAACCAGTGCCGCGTTGCACAAGGACAGGCGAGTCCGGAGCGCGCAGGCGACACTGGCTTTAGGGGTAAGTGGCGCCCCAGCAAATGGCTCTGCAACGCGGAGAATGGAGCCCCGCACCTCACACGCTCACAGAAGCTAATTCAAAGTCGACCTCGTTCAAAATGGGGGCGCCCAGACAACACAGCTTCTGAACGAAAAGCCAAGACTGAGCCTCATGACCAGGGTTAGTTACAAAGCACTGACCACGAAGGCAAGCAGCTGGTAAACAGGGCTTCGTGAAAATTAAGACCGTCTGTCCACGGGAAAGTTCTGTTTTAAAGGAGTAGTAAGGTAACCAACTCAGAGCAGAAGATGGTGTTAACAATACAAAGGAGGTGTATCTAGAACGCCAGTTAAAGGCACAGCAGACACAGTGCCGCCCCCCGCCCCCCCCCCCCAAGGCCGAGCGGAACGCGCAGGCGGACAGCGCGCAGCCACTTTGGAAAAGTTTAGAAGCGTCTTAGGAAGTGAAACCCGCACTCGGCGTGTGAGCCTGCGAGCCGGCTCCTAGCGCCCGGCCTCAGAGAGACGGAGGCACCTGTCCCCCAGGACGGCGGCGGCCGCCAAAGTCCCGAAGTGGGACGACCCGCCGGCCCCCAGCAGGCGAGGGGATGAACTCTCGGTGAACTCACGGGGCGGTGCGTCCACAAGGAAATACCGCCGGGGCGAGAGAAGCGGCGGGTCCACACACACGCCGGACCGCGCGACCCCAAAACGCGGAAGCAGCCGCATGCCACGTGACTGCACGTGCATGAAGTTCAGGAACAGGGGCCTGTGGTCCGTGGGGGCGGGGCCCAGCGAGGGTGGGGGCCACTGATAAAGGGGGCCCCCCCACACACATACACACTCACGGAGCTTCAGGTGCACGTCCCACACTCGAGTGTGCGCACCTGACGCCGCAGGGAAGTTCGAGGGACCCACACGTCACACGAGAGGACGCTTCGGCAGAACCGCGTCCCAACCGCCGGTTCGGGCCCCTAGGGCCCCTCTTGGCGGCCCCACTGCTCTGCCTCCAGAAGGCGGGGCGTGTTTATAACTCCGCGTGCACCCGGCTTTTTCCTTCCACCGCCCCACCACCTCCCAGTTCCCCCTGTACCTAGCACGCGCCTGGGACCTACCTAGGAGGCGCTCAGTAAGTATCTGTAGAACAAGTGAACGTGCAACTGTCAGCCTCCTGACCCAGCCTGCGAGCCCCGAGGGCTGCGTCACGTCTGCTCGGCTCGCTTCCCGGAGCGCGGGATTGGACCACAGCCAGAAGGGAATTAACGAAAGCGCACGGTCTCATCAACCGGCCACACCTGGGTCAGAGATGGAACAGGTGTGTGGAGCAGCGGCCCTTCAGTCTCACTACACGGCTGGCACTGAATTAGTTGCAAAGGGGAAAGACAAAACTTAAAACTGGAAAGAAAATAAGATGCACACGCATTGGGGGGGGGGGGCGCATGCACGCGCAAAGGAATCCCGCAGCGGTTTCGAACCCCCTAGAAAACAGTCTCCTGCATGTCAAGGTCAGTCTGGGTCAGGGTTTCCAGGACCTTGGACCAACCCGCCACAGCCCAAGTGACAGCACTTAGGGTGTCCCTGGAGGGTCTACAAAGTCCCCGACGGGTGAGCCTCAAAACTGTGGAGGGCGTCTCAAACAAAAGAAAGACGGGATCCGTCACAGCCACGAGGCGCCTCACGACTGACTCCAATCCCAGAACAGAAGTGGATCCTTGGGGAAAATTGGCAAAATCCAAAGTGACCGCCAAGTTTCGTTAATAGTAGTGACCAGCGTGGGCGCACCAGTGACGAACGCACAGTAACGCTGCATTAGGCAAAGCTGGGCGCCGCGTACCGGGAAACTGCACTATCTCGGCAACTTCTCTGCACATCAAATGATTCTCAAAGGAAAAGTTCCGTTTGGAAAGGTATTCTTCCCTCCGGGCACTTTGCGGCCACCTGCCGGAAATCCGAGGTCCCACCCCCATCTGCCACCATCCACGCCCGCGCCGAGCGCACGCGGCCCGCGGCGGAGCTTACCTTGGGCGGGTCGAAGAGCTCCAGCACTCGGTCCGCGCCGCCCTCCGGGCCTCCGGCGCGCCGCAGGGCCAGCCGCCCGCGCTGCCAACGCGGCCCGCTGTCCATGGAGGCCTCGTCGGCCAGGCTGTAGCGCAGGGTCGCCTCCTTGAGGGCCTCCGGCGGCGGTTCTCGGGCCAGGCTCCAGGGCAGGAACTTCCTGGCCAGGCCGGGTTTGGGCCGGGCCTCCCCCGCGGCTCCAGCCGCCGGCACCTCCCCGGCCGAGCGGCGGCGGATGATGTGGCGGAGGCTGTGGCGCAGGTGCTGGAGGGCACAGGGCGCAGATGGCCGCGGCGGGGCCAGCTCCTCCGAGCTGCGGGCCTTGGGCAGGGCAGGGGCGGCGGGGCCCGGGTCCGCCTCGGCTCGGGGGGCCTCGGCCTTGGCCGGGGGCCCGCGGCCCGCCTCCCGGTAGTCTCGAGCCGGCGGCCCGGGCGCGCGGCCCTGGCGCACCTCGCGGCAGAAGTAGAGCTGGAAGAGGTCAGTGAACTGCAGCGACACGAGCTCGGCGCGCAGCGGCGCGTGCTGCGGGTGCTCGCGCACGAAGAGCCAGTACTGACGGGCCAGCTCTCGCGCCGTGGCCACCGCGTGCAGCTCGCAGAACTCGCTCCAGCCCCGTGGGGCGGGGGCCGAGGCCACGCTGGTGGATGAGGAGGCGGAGGGCGTGGAGGAGGCCGCGGAGGGCTGCAGGGCGGGCCCGTTCATGGCGGAGATCGGGGTGGCGCGGCCGGGCTGAAAAACAGGACGTAGCAGGGAGCAGGCAGTGAGCAAACAGGTGAGAACTGAGCCCTTAAACCCACCGCCGGGGACTTGTCGGTCACCAAGCCCAACACCAAAAATCGAAAATCACTCACAACATAGTGCTGGCGAAGGTGCAGCGGAACAGGCACTTCCCCACCCAGCTGCGGCCACCATTAAGCGGTACAGCCTTTTTTGGAGGGCAGAGTGGCCGGGTCAGTTTCAGACCCAATAATTCCACTTTTAAGTATTCAAGAGAAATCTTAGGACGACCCCTGCTAGACGTTTCCTAGCCCAGCATTTAAAATAGGGAAAAAGTAGATACAACTGTTAAGCAAACTCCCACGGCTGAATGCCCCAGCGGGTGCAGCTCAGTGGACTTGAGTGCAGGCCTGCGAGCTAAGGGATTGCGGTTCGATTCCCAGTCAGGGCACATACCTGGGTTGCAGGCCAGTTCCCAGTGGGGGACACACAAGAGGCAACCATACATTGATATTTCTCTTCCTCTCCCCTTCCCTTCCCCTCTAAAGATAAATGAATAAAATATATTTTTTATATTTTATTTATTTATTTTTAGAGAGACGGGAAGGGAAGGAGAAAGAGTGGGAGAGAAACATCAACGTGTGGTTGCCCCTCAGAGGTCCCCTCCTGGGGACTGGGCCTGCAACCCAGGTCTGTGCCCTGACTGGGAATCGAACCAGCAACCCTTTGGTTTGCAGGCCCACGCTCTATCCATTGAGCTACACCAGCCAGGGCAAGTGAATAAAATCTTTTTAAAAAATAAAATAAATAAACATAATGACATTTTTTAAAAAAACTCCCATGGCTGAAAGTCTTTTTAAAAGAAAGGGTTTATTAGACCATTGCTGGGCAAACAGGAAACAGGAAAGAAGGAGAAAGCAGTGGATGGCTGGTCCCGGGGCGTGGGGTCTAAACCAGCAGCAGGACAGTGAAGTGGGAAGGACAGCCGCGTGCCGGTCCCGGAGGACCCCAAAGGCTTCTACCCATCGAGGGTGGGGGCCGGTGGGGGGTGAGTTCAGCCTGGTCTGAAAGGATTTACACTACACCAGCCACAGACGAAGCTGATGCAAACACCCCCCCCCGCCCCCTGCCCAGAAAGAGGAAGTGTTTGCCCCTGTGGGCAGCGCATTAGAAACTTCACGTGTAAATTAGAAGCAGAGGCTCCTGGGGTTCGATAGTCACTTGGAAATTCATCTTCAATGTCAACAGAGGCAAAGGAGCGAGAGCAGACTTTGGGCGTGGCTGGCCCTGTTCCGCCCCTTCCACCACCAGCCCGTCGCTGTCACCTAGGACACCTCGGACGTTTGCCTTGTCACGCCTAACTGCCCATCAGACTGTGGGGCACCTGCAGGTCTGGACGGACTCTCCTGCAGCAGCGGGCAAGGAAGGATGTGGAAGACCAACGCCGCCACCTCGGCGAGATCTCCAAGGGACACCGCGAAGCAAACAAAGCCAACCACGGAGCAGTGTGAGCTGTGCGGTCCTGCTGACACACACAAAGCCCAACTGCCGATTTCCGTGGGCACGTGCATGGGCGTGAGCGGTGGGCAAGGAAGGGGTGGCTGGAGCAAGCCCATCCAGACACTGTGGCAACCTCTGCGGGGGAACCAGAACTGGGTGCAGGCGAAAAGTAACCAAGGACAGTGGTGACGACTCTTTGCCAGAAAGTGTGGTTGACAACACAGAGCCGGTCAGCTACGGTTCCCCCGAGTCCCTGGTTTCTGTCTCCTCTGGAGGACTTTCCTGCCAGGTGTGTCCGGCTCTTCCTCAGCCACCTGTCAATCACCCATTCTCCCTTCTGAAGTCTAATACCCCTCCAACCCTTCGTCCAAAATCCCAGTGTGGCCTGTCTTTGGCATTTCTGGTTTATGTGGATTCCCCATGCACAGGTATTCAGACTTGATGTTTCTCTTTTTTGAAAGCCAAAACCAAAACCAAAAACAGGGAGCCGGGAAGCTGAGCCCAGAGCCCAGTCCACCAGTTACTGGTGGTGTGACCTCGGGTGAGTGATTCAACTTCTCCCTGCTTTACGTCCCCGGCTGTAAAGTGGGGACCATGACTGCACCTGCCTTACTGGAGCACTATGAGGACTGAGTTAGTTAATGTAAAGGCCTTAGAAACTAGGAAAAGCATAATAAGGGCTGGCTGTTTTTATTGTTATTTGAATGTTACGATGACAGCGTGTTGTTGCCAATAAATACAAAGCAACAAATGAAGAGGAATAGATTGCCTAGACTCGCAAAGATATTTCCTGCTCAGCCAACCCTTGCTGCACCCCCTACTTCCCAGCTGGGGCTCCCTTCTGTTCCACCCCCCAGGTCCCTCCTCTGGCACATCTGAAGGGCAGAAGCCCCCCACCCTGTGCTGTCCACGGTGCTGAACCCCAGAGCACCCTAGTTACCATCAGGGCTGGCCTTCCTTCCCACTGGACCAGGCTGGGCTAGAGCCCCCACTGGGGACACATAATCATGGCTGCTTATTCACCTGCCCCCAAAATATTACTGAGGGCCTACTATGTGCCAGACACTGTGCCAGGCCCTGGGGATGCAGCAGTGACCCAGACAGAAATGCCCGCTCTCCTGAGACTGCATCACACACACACACACACACACACACACACACACACACACACGGGCTAGGTGGCCCCCGACACCTGACTGGACCTCTTGGAACCTGGGGCTCCTCGTCTGTCAAACAGGGAGCAGTGTGGTGGCGGCCTCATACGATGGCTGCAAGGGGTCCTTAAAAAGGGGACTTGAATGGAAATCTGAGCCCGGAAACTGGGGTTCTGTCACCTCACCATCTCCAGACCATGATGGCGATGCCACAGCTGGTCAAAGGACACCCAAGACAGCACAGAGCTGAGCACCTACACACATTAGGCTCTTTGCAGAGTAGGCAGTCAATAAAGGCTGCCAGACAGAGGGAATGGCGAGGAGCCGCATGTGCCCTTGACCATCACACCCTGACAACACACGCCCCGTTGCTGAAGGAAGGGTTTCACCTGCATGTGGCGGTGGCCTGGACCCTGGGCAACCCTGCAGCATGCCTTGACACAGGTGAGGCAGGCACTGTCCTCTCAGGTTGGGGACTAGAGCTGTCAGATTCCAGGCCCAGGCCCCCGCCCCACCAAAGGGGCCCCATGGAACTGCCCCACAGGCTCCAGCCACCCCTGGGTGACTGCATTAGCATTCTGCAGCCCTGCCCGCTCTCAGCCTGCTCAAGTCTCACAGGCGAGCAGCCCTCCCTGAGCTCGCCAACCCCGTACAGCACGATACTATCATTCAGCAGCTACGATTATGTGATCGGTGCCTATCTTCCCACCAAACAGCCCCACGAGGCCAGGAGCTCCCCATTCTATTGCAGCTCCCAGCATAGAGCAGGAGCTCAACAAATGCCTGTTGAATGAATGAATGCAAGAGTTCAGCTGAATTTGCAACCTCTCACTCTTCTGGCAGACACATGGTGGCCAGCACCCACCTATGGACCAACCTACCTCCTGTGCACCCTAGGCCTCTGCCTGCCCCTCCCTTTGCCTGGAACACCTGTCCCTGTCCACCTCTGCATGTCAGTCTCAAAGTCCAACTGCAGGGCCAAACCCTAGCAGGAGCCTTCTCAGAACAGCTGTGTCCACTCCAAGCTCCGTCCCTGCACAGGCGATGGCTGGCCACCCTCCTCGCCATGGCCCGCATTCCAGTTTCTCGACAAGAATGACATGTCCTGAGCCCTCGCTACATCTCACACATTGTTCTGACTGCCCTGGCAAAATGGGGACCCCCCCAGCTTCATGACAGCACTCAGAGGCAGGGCCGACAACTGCGCCCATTTTACCGGCGGAGAAACTTAAGCACAGAGAGGCACCCCAGCTAAGGATGAACGGCAGGGGGCACCCCCAAAATACCCGTGGGTGCCGACTGCACACCACAAAGAAGACTCTTCCTAGTGAGTGTGTGTGGAATGGATGAGTGTGATCCAGGCAGGAGTATAAAGGTCTCATTCAGTCCCTGGTGCCCAACGCACCAGGTGGTCAGGAAAATAGCCACAGGGTGAAAATAAGGAAGCAAAACAGGCGATGCTTGTTCGTGCCGTGTGCTCTGCTCTGCGGCAGATGCTTGCACTGTTCTCTTGTTCAGTCAGAGGGGGAGTCCCAGCACTGTGCCCAACTTGCAGCTGAGGACAGCGAGGTGCTGGAGGGGTGGCTCTCCTGGGGTCATGGGACTGCTGAGGGGCAGGGATGAGAACTCAGCTCGCTCTCGGTAAACATGAGCACTGCTGCCTACCGTTTACCTCACTCCACCAGGGCCGGGAAGCCAGCAAACCGAGAGGCCCTCTCATCCCTGCCCGCTCCCCAGGGCCCAGCCGCAGCAGGTACTTAGAAACACCAGCCGTATGAATCATGACCTCTTGGGTTCCAGGTGGGCTGCAAACGGCGAACTCCGGAGCCATGCCGCTGACCCAGGGGGGCTGACAGAAAAGGCAGTGAGTGGAGGTCTGAGGAACCCACCGAAACCCCTACCCCCCACCTAGACGACCTCTCTGTGGTGGAGCCGCCAACCAAACCTGGGGTCACCTCCTTGCCAGGTGCTGCAGAAGAGGGGCTTCCCCCTCTGAGCCTCAATGTCTTCATCTGTAAAATGGGCTGATTTTACTGATTCTGGGCATTTGCTAGGAGTATTCTAGGGACTGATGTCTGCAGGGTACTTGGCCCGGGGCTCCAGAAACGCGTGGCTATTGCCACTTTATTACTGTTATTATTAGAAAGGAGGAGGGCCAGCTCCAGAGGAGGCCAGGCCTGCTGGCCAGGAGAAACCACGGGGAGAGTCTGGCCTGGTGGGCAGGGCAGGGGCATCATGGGAACCAAACAAAAGGCCTTCTCAGGGGAGAGGCGGCTGCTTCAGGCAGGAAACAGCCAGCTGTGGCCCAAACCAGGGAGGCGGCGGTGCCAGGAGGTTTCTGGTGCTCTGGGCAGCCAG